ACACCAAGGCCCAACATACATTGTTTGAAAACTCATACCCACTTAAAAGCTTAAGCTTTAAGTGGATAGTCCATTAACGGTATATTAAGACCCACTCCTTTTATTCTTTATCCGATATAACACTATCTTCCCACATGATCCAACAAATACCACATTTTTTAGGTTATTCAAACAACAAAGAGAAAAAAGAAAAAGAAGAGTCCAGTTACTGAAAAAATTGGTGGGTTTGCCACTAGTGCTTCAAAAAAGACACAGCAATTTTCCTATTATGCACATCAACGTTATGCATAAGACTGCATACATCCAACCCTTTTCCTGACTCTACAATGGTGGTAGCTCATGCATTGGGTAGTTGGGCTACCCTTGTTAATAAACTATTTGTTACATTCATATATGATATTTATCACAGAATTCTACAAATAAAGTAGTGCAGAAATAGTAGCTTATATCCAGCTACCAAATGTCAATGGATAAAGTTTAAACTAACAGATATCTTTGTTTAATAAAACCAGTTGGATACATTCAAAGCTGGAAAATAGACAATAAACTAAAAACTTGGACACATAGAAAATGTTGACAGGCCTGTCCCCATCCCGGTGCTGGCCATGGTTTGGCATCATAAATATTGGCAGTGATGGCCTAAATGGGGATACCATGTATAGTGGTGGGGCTAAACCCAGAAATGCCACAGTTATTTATTAAGCATATAGTCCCTTGACTACTCTCGCATTGGGGCCAATCAACACCAAAGTGACTTCTTGGATGAACCATTATTCAAATATACTTAATTAAGGGACAGGCGGCTTCTCAATGTCTCTATTTTAAGGAGCATTGCCCATGGCCATATATGATAACGAAATTTTTAGAATAGTTTATGGATAATGGAATGCTATATTAAATAATTGTTTTATAACTAAATGTTAATGCGAATAAGGTTTTTATGCTTCAATTACTAAATTAATGCATTGCAATCGATTCCTACATTTTTTTAATTAAAAAAAAAAATTTGAAAACCAATGCCAATGTTAATAAATTTCTTCAAGGCGGTAAATTTCAGTTTGCAGCATATACTGGAACGTAATAAAACTAAACTGATTAACCAGTACCAAGTAAAAATAACAATGAGCACATTTAAAGAGCAGTAAGCATGTCTTGAGAAAACGTACAAAAACCGACGGAAAAATAGGTTCGGCCATTTGTAGTACAGAGGGCTACATAGTATAAGAGTCGAGCCATGCTCATGTTAGAAATCACCTCAGGAACATGACATTTTTAACTAAACAAGTCCATATCTTAACATTAATTCGGCTAATTATAAACGTGCAACCCAAACATGACAATATAGCAGGATTACACATACTAGTCCTGTTTAATACATAACAAATGCTTCATCAAGGGTTTTGATTAAACAAAGGAAAAACAAACAAAACAAAGCAAGAACCTCCAAAAATAGAAATGGTAAACAATATTTGCATTTTGGTATATATATTGAGGAGATATATATATTAGTGAATTAGAATGAATTTGGTATTTATACAATGAAAAAATTTATTCATACATAAAATTCATCAAAAAACTCCACAGATGGTGTGGCAATGCCATTATTGTAAATAAATGTATCTTCAATGGTGTTTTGTTTTCAAGTGAATGATCAATAATGAGCCACATCATTATATATGATTTTTTTTTGTTTATATAGCATTACAAAATTAGATTTAAACCAGTTAGCCATATGAAATCTGTTAGAACGATTTTGACATTATTTTTCGTGTTATCGAGTTGTTTCACTTTCAGGTTCACGTTGAAAACTAATCAACCTTACGCACTAACGTAGTGTCCTAATTAGTTTCATGCTAACTATTGTGTTGAAAATTTCCACAACTCATATTCTCATATTTATAAAATGGAATGGATTTTTCATTTCTTTTTGTGTTGGGAAAAAAAAATGTAAAGAACACAAAGAAACAAGAAAAAGTCTGAAATGAGATAATGAAAAGAATCAAACAAAAAGAATTGTGAACAATGAGCCAAAAAATACAGATACACAGAGAAAATTAAAACGACATTCAGACCAACAATCATCATCACTACTACAAACATCAAAAATGTGTTCTTTATTTTTTTCTGGGGAAGAGAAATTTAAATAATCATCCAAACACCAAACCATCTCAGAATAAGTAAAGCAACAAAAGACACCTATTCCAGTTAAAATTGACTACCATCTCCCAAACTACAGGATAATAGGCACTTTCCCTAATTTACAAATTTGGAATGTGAACCGCAGAACTGAACCCAGATATAATACACATAAATCTATTCTATTAATATAAAACACACAACTCATTAAGATTAAACTTTCCTAGGTAATTTTTATTCCCAAAATAACCCAACAATTTTAAATTTTCTCAAATATTTACCTTTACATAGCAATTACTACAGACCAAAAGTAAAATCATCCAACCAAAAATTGTTGTTTTTAGGCTGCCAGAACACCATTTCCACTCTCACTCACAATCTCTCTTCTAATGCACACATTAGGGCATCTCCAACTTTGGCTTTGTTTGGTGCAGTGGGCTGCTTATAGCTGCTTCTTTTTTTTATTTTAGAAACAACAATGTTAGAGGGCCACAATTTTTGTGGCCACAATGGCTCAAAACTGCCAAAACGACGTCGTTTTGGGTGCAAAACATGCCAAAATGACGTCGTTTTTGCAGTTTTGAGCCATTATTGTGGCCCTCAAACATTTTCCTTTTAGAAATATGCACCAGAGTATTTAGTGCACCTTTTGCACGAAAATAGAAATAGCTTAAATAAGCAAATAAAAAATAAAAAACTGATTATTAAGATTGAGAAACAGTGGAATATGTATTTTTAGCTTTTTCTTTTGATTATCAATTTTTAATTTACAATAAACTGTACTAAACAGGCCGCTTGACTCAAACCTATGGGGGTGTTTGGGAAGAAAAAAAATAGCCTAATTTAGGCTAAAATTAACAAAAAGACAAAATAGGCTAAAATAGCTAATAAGACAAAATATCACATCAAACCCATAATCATTTCACTTTTTCTCTCATAAACATCACATCCAATCATAAAAAAATCCAATCATCTTCCCAAACACAAAAATTTTAGCCTACTAAAATAGTCAAAAACTAAAATAGTCTACTAAAATAACAACTTTCCAAACGAAGCCTAATTTAGGTCACAGTCATTAAAAAAAGCTCTCTACTCCTTAGACTCAAACTTACATCAAATTGAATTTTACTCATTTTTTTACTCAAATCAAAGAGAAATTTTTGTGCGCTAATAGAGTACACGTGGCACTGCCTTCCACTTGTATATGCCCCTACTCTAGAGGATCCTAACGCTTGTCAAATTCTACCCTGCTGGCACCCAAAAATTTCTCCAAATCAAGGGATACTCGAATTTTTACTCAAAAAATTCAACAGCATTTTCTAGCTTTCAAATGTTCAACTCTGCCATTACCAAAGTTTTTAACTCAAATTTATGGCAAAAATAAAAAATTGCAAAATTGGGAATGTGAACTCCATAAATGACACACACAAAAGTAAATGTATAGATTGTATGTAGATGTGCAGAGGATGAATTACTCACTTTGGGGGATGGAAAACGAAGCTTTCCATTGAAACCCAGATGGGAATCCAAGTCTCCACGGTACCTCCGGCTGGACGGCGATGAATCAGGGGAGTTGGGTCTAAGAAACCTCTCAAAAATGGCCATGAGGAAGAACATGGAGATGAAAACAGCGGTGGCAACAAACCCAAAAGAAACGGCATTGACAGAGCTATCAAAGTGACTCCATTGGTCATCTCTACCTGTGTGGAGTGGAGCCCCAGTCGGTGGCCAAATCCATTGATCTCCTCTCCCCATTCTCTCTCTCTCTCTCTCTCTCTCTGTCACGAAGCTCTAAGCTCTGAAGAAGTTCTTCACCAACATTGTGAGTTGGAGAGAACCCAGAAAGCAGAAGAATAGATGGGATTTGAATGGGTTTTTATGCCCCCGTTGTCGTACTTAAATTAAAAGCTGCCATTGAAGCCTGCGAAAAGAGGAACCATGAGAGACAGAGACAGACAGAGAAACAGAGAGGGGAGCATGTGGCGTGGCTTTACAGACAGATGACCGAAGGGTTGAAATTGAGATTTGGATAGTTGAATGTAGAGAGAGAGAGAAGGGTTTTGGCCCCCTGACATGTACAAAATTGGAATGTTTTGTTGACAAATAGCTTGTTTAAGAGGTAGGTTGGTTTTTAATTTTTTGATTTTTAATTTTTTTGATTATTTTAATTTAGAGTCAAAAAAAATTGTTTGAAATAAGTTTTTTAGTTTTTCTGACTTTTATGAGAGAGAAAATAAAATAATTATAGGTTGAATGTAACATTTTGTTTATATTTGACTAAAATAATTGATTTTGTCTTACATGATTATTTTAATCCAAAATGTTATGCCAAACGAACCCAAAATGGTTTTTGATAGGTGAAGTTAGGCCAAGTTTGGGAAGACTAAATAAGTGTACTTTTCGTCTTTTTGGACTAAAAAATTGAGGTTGAAAATATGGATGTTTGGGTTAACTTTTTGACTTTTTATTGAAAAATGTGTAATAAAAAATTGTAAAAATTGGTTTGTAGAGGAAAATTTGAATTGGGAGTTGTGCAGCCGTAATTGTTGACTTTTGGTGAATAGTGTTAACTTTTTAACTTTTTGAGTAACTTTTTGACTTTTTGACTTTTTTGGGAGTACCCAAACTTAGCCTTAGTGGTTGGTCGGAGGGCACCGCACGCACTGGGTGTGTAGAAGTGTTGTGATTGATGGAGCAGATAAGATTTGTAAATTTATGTTGAGTGATTAAAGAATATGAGCGTATATAGTAAATTGTGACTGGTGAAAGGCATGGTCATGTGAAGCCCTTGATCAACTAATAATTTTTTCTGTGTGACAGACTTCCATTGGACCCTTGTTTGGTAAAAATGACAATTTAATTTATTTTGCTTCATAAATCCCCTAGGGAAGAGATGTAAGGACAGAGTAAATTTTTTTTTCTTGAATAATATTACCCACACACACATATATATATATATATATATAATTCTTTTGACAATAAATACTTTTATTTTATTTTATACAAGTTTAAAAATGTTATGTATATGTGTTTTTTTGTTGATTCATCTAGTATGTATTTTATTTTTTATAATAGTAAAATGTTACTGTAAATTAGACCAACATGTTACAGTCAAATAAAGTAACATGTTATTATTTACATCAATTTCAATGATATTTATTTATTTATTTTTAAAAAAATTTATAATTAATATGAATCTTGTTTGATAGATCATGACGAAATAATTTTTAAAATATTAATTTTATTAAAAATCAATATCAAGATCAAGATCAAAAGTTATATTATTTTAAAGTTTAAAATATTAAATTACTCACTAAGTATATTTTGGTAAAATAGTGGTATGTGTTAGATTTTTTAATAATTTTTTTCATACTTGCCCTTAATATTTTAAAGTTTTATTATAAAGGGATTTTGATTAAATCCCCATCCGTTAGATTATATAATTAAAGTAAGGTCGTAATTTATGATTTCAGCCTATTAATCGATTATTTTTATAAATTTAAAATTATAAAAAATATGTTGAAAATTTCATTGGTTTATTTTATTTCAATATTTTAATTCAAATCATGATTAATAAAAAAACTTTTTAAATTATAATTTATGAACTATTATCGGATAACTCTTATCTTACCTATTATTTTAAATTTACCTATTTATAATTTTAAATTTCAAATCTACTAATAGAAACAGTCAAAAATGAATTTTAGCCATAGGATCTTTTTATCAAAATCTATAGTTCATACCTAATTTGAAATGTTAAAAAGAAATTTAAAATAATATTTCAAATGTATTTTATCGCCTTTAAACTTTGAACATATTATATTTCAGTAATTCATGGAATTATATCCAAGCAACACATTCTCTAATACTAAATTGATTGAGGACAACAACGGTTATCAAAGTCAATCTTAAAATCAATTATTTAGGCTATGTTTAGTATCTAAATCAATTCTGACACTCCAATAAGCTAACACATTGCTCATGTAAAACAAAAAATATATATATTAACTACCCGTTTACTCGATGTTTATTATTGATAGATAATTTTCTTAATTAAGACCGGGGATATAGAGTTTATACATGACTGTTATGGCATAACTTGTGTCTTGTATTATATTATTATTATTATTTTCATATATATACATCTAAATATTAATTAATCAATTTGCGTATTAATACAATAAAATTATTACCTAAGTTTAAGTTGTAATAACATTGCATAATATTGTACATATTTGTTATTTTCATTATGAAGAATATTACAGAGATACTCATTTACCAAATTTAACAAACTCATTTATATAAGGGTACAAATTACATTGAACCTCCTTAGGGTTGGTCAATTGCTATCCCATCCGCCTGAATCTTTGAAAATTTACATTTCTACCTTGGGATTATATTTTATATTCACAAATCCCCCCCTTCGTCTACTATATATAAAAGTTAACGCGCATACTGCCTATCTTTAAAAAATAATACAGACACACTACAGTAAGAAAAAGTAGACAGGAAAAGGAAAAAAAAAAAAAAAAAAAAAAAAAAGAGAAGTAAAGCACAAGCAAAGCAAAAAAACTGATAAGGCTGAGTTCCAATTTCGTTCTTCCATACAATATTACAATAGACAGAGTCCGGTTAGTCTGAATACTTCTCCCACAGTCTACGGGATATGATATTATTAGAAACCCAAAGCTCAGGGGTGTAAGTGTAATTATCTTATATAAATAGAGTTAGTCAAGCATAGCTCTTAATTTGTATTGGTGTTGATTTAATACTTAACTAGAATTTTGTGTAGAAATTTTCAAAAATGCTCTTCACTTATACAAGCTCAACTAAATTCTATCGTGTTCAATTATTTATTTTTCTAAAACGAACATAGAATAGTAAATGAGTAATATTTCTAACATGTTATTGGACTAAGGTGACAAACTTACCACAATGTCCTTTTTGAAATGTGTAATATTCTTTTAAATCTCAAAACCTTTAGAAGACTCAAAACGTCCTATATACTCATTTGTTTTCTCTTCTTTTCCCTAACATCATTACTCTTTATCTTGTCGACCTTTTTTGAGTAATCGCGCGATAACACAACGACCAACTAACGCTTCTTCTTTCTTTTCTTTCTTAATATCTTTCTAATTTACAGCCTCGAAACAGCATATCCGCGACCAATATTGATTGGGGTTCATGGGCAACCATACACCAACATACATCGGCACAGAAGCTTCTTGCTTGATGCACAGACTGGCGAAAGAGATGAGTTTCGCGAAAAATATGGCATAGATCTACTTCATATTTAAATCTAGAGTCTCCCTCGAGTAGATCTACATTCAATCTTGACTAGACTCTACAAAAGAAAGTTGTCGAAGTACAAACATCTTTATGTATTGTCTTTTCCTTTGATTCTCTAGTTTTAACTTATTATAACCACACACTTCTTATTTTCCGTTTTAATGGAGAAATTGTCCAACTTGTGAACAAGTTGTTTTTTCGAATTAATTTATAAGGCGGCGAAACTGTAAATTTTCAGTATTCATACATGTTTTTCAATTTGATAAATAGGGTAATACTTAATAGAATTGTTTTGAATTGTAACTTTACGATTTCAACATTTGCTATTTAGTTGATTGGTTATTAGAGATTATATGTTTAAACTTTTACGTAAAATTAAACATAGCATTTATATCTATATTTTTCATATTTCACGTTTGTTGTTGCTTAGATTTTTTTTCTGTCTTTCAGTTTATCCAATATTTTAGCATATTTGTTTATATTTTTCACTTTAAGTTTTTACTTCTTCGTTTTTTTTTGCAATATTGTAGACATGCGGTAGTCTCTGCATATTTCTTGACGGAATCCAAGGCAAATAAGCATTATTCTTAACATTTGTATGACTCTCCAGTGACCTCTAAAACATTCTGGACGACACTTCTTATGCGAATTCTCAGGATGATACATCGTCGCATATTCCCGTTGAACTTGTAATATTGTATGAGGTCTCCGATGACGTGTTGACGAGAAACTGGAGATGGTAGACACTTAAATTAGACTTTTTTTCAATATACAATAAAAAATATAAGATAGACTTGTACAAATATGTTATTTTCGGGACTAGCATCATCATTATAAACCTAATTTACCAAATATCCTCAAAAGCAACATACTCCCGGTAAGTTCTCAACCATTCCACGAATAATAGTTAAATTTAAATTGCTACACTTCCATTATATTTTTCTATCACCACTATATATTCTATCTCCTAATTACTACTTCCAGTCAATGAAAAATGACTAACTATAACTTCTTTCTCTAAAAATATAAAATCCACGAACATAAAAATACAACAAAAAATAAAATCTTTGCTCAAATAATAAATAAAATAATCATACGACTCAGATGAAGACGTGCTCAGAGATACCAAATGCTAAGCTATAAAATTTGATATGCATAAATTATCAATTACAAAATTTTATAGACGCCAATATTACGACTGAAACAAAAAGCTATATTTTAGTGTAATTTGACGGCAAAATTTATTTGCTTTTTATTTACCAAATGAATTAATACACATTTTTTATAGAAAAATTTACTAATAGGAGGCTTATTAATAATTACTACAAATACTTCATATTATCAATTTAATTTGTTTGCTAAATTATTTATATGTATTTAAAAAATTAAATTTTGAAATTCATCCTAAACAAAACTGTGCTGAGGCACGATACGGCGTAGATTAACTTTTTACAAAATACAAAATCTAATCGATGGATAAATTTTAAATTTTTATAACCACTTTTTACACAACATAGAAACTATACCTACCACAGGCGTTCAACGTAGAATATCCTTATCTTCCATGTTTAAGCTTTTTCAGTTCTTTTTAAGATCTAAAACTTCCACCAACAAACTTAAAGGAAAACACTTTTAATTCGAATCATAAACAAACTAGTACACAGAGAGAAACAACACATGTGGTATAATAGATATATTAAATATCAAGCTATGATATATCAGAAATATATAAAAACTAAGTAGAGATTCAGGAGAGATATATATGGGTGTA